CTATTAATCCATTTTAATTACGATTATGGAACACAATCGCTTCCATACTGGAGGGGGGGTGGGGCATGAATTACCTCGTTTGCTTTTAAAGAGACAGCCTCAAAACAAGTTAATCTGACACACCTCAGAAAAGGGGCAGGGCTTGTGGAGTTAAAATAAGGAAGAATTCAGACCAAATCATTGCAGTTTAACTTTACAAAGAACCCAACTGAAGGATTTAAATGTGAAGAAGAAGGATTTAAAAGCATGATATGTCTCATTTAAACTAACACTTAATGCTCGCCACTAATGAAGATGACGTTTAAAGACAATTATTCAATTCCTTGTTTCCACAGAGACAAGCTGTGGAGRTGTTGCAACAAGAAAAAAAAATCAACTTCTCACACAGTTCTGGAAGAAGTCTTATTTTCACATACAACTCTTTAACATCTTCAAAAGCTCTGGAGAAATGTTGCTCAAGTTCATCATTTAAAAAAAGATACAAGATACTTTAACTCCTTACAGTGAAAATGAAAGGAAATGGAAGATWGTTAAAGACTGTTCTCAAACACAAACATCAACCAATCTTTAATTAAAAACAACAGATGCCCTCCGGCAGAACAGAAGTCAAGTTTTGGTTTGTTAGTTGTTTATGAGCAAGTAGAAGTTTGGGTTGTGCTTCATTTGAAATGACACATAAACAAGGAAGAGACTGTATAGTTTATATAACCATGTGGTTTTTTCACAACATCAATAAAGGCCCTGTCACACTATAGTGTTTTAGACAACTTATGAAATGATTTTTTTCAGGGTTAGGTTTAGGACCAAGGTGTGAATTGATTTTAGGCTAGGCTTCAGGTCAGGTACCTGTGAGGTTAGGTAAATAAAAAACAAATTATTACTTAATATGAAAATTCTATCTTATATTGATGGTAAACTTCAAATTTGTGATTAAATGCAACAAAATTAACAAATTTAAAAAGTGAAAGATTACAATAATGGTCCTGCCCCTGAGCTGTTTGCTTTAAGTAACTGAGCAATTTAGTTGGATAGCAGAGTATTAATGTCTCAAAATAAACTACTTTAAAGTCAACATCAACCACTTAAACTCTTTCAACCACTTTCAACTCTGCCATAATGCATGTCGATCATCCATGAGAATTCCCTGTCAGAAAGTGGGAGAGTTAAGATTTCAAGATGGCAGCTACTCACTAGAAACTCATCTGTGAGTAAAACTTTATTAGTTTTACTTTTAATAATATTTCTGTATTATTTATTTCAGATTTAATCAGTCGTACACTTAGTTCTTATCAGTGTTTAAAAGAGGACATGTTAAAACTTTGTTTAGTCAAAGTTAAACATGAAATATCAAAGTTCATTACAAGTAGCCCTTCGAGGGCCACCATAACTCTCATGTGGCCCTCAGTGAAAATGAGTTTGACACCCCTGCTCTAGGGTAAAGCTGAAAACATACAGGTGCTGGTCATAAAATTAGAATATCATGAAAAAGTAGATTTATTTCAGTAATTCCATTTAAAAAGTGAAACTTGTATATTATATTCATACATTACATACAAACTCATATATTTCAAATGTTT